GAATGCCTCAGACCCCCAGGAGCGGAGCGCCTCCGACGTTTTATGACTGATGTTTGAAAAATCCTAGATCTGCCCCTGAACTCTAGTATTCTTGTCATCAAGATCACTATTAACATGGCCGTAGGGCCTGGGAGGGCACAGGGGGGATGAGCCCCCCCCCAAGCTTAGCTATTCGGGCGCTTAGGCTTAACACCATGTTTCGTTCGGGCAATTAATATAAGTCTAAACAACGTTATATGAATCAAGTTATATAGAAATGATATTACAGATTTTTGGGTAGTTAAAAGCATCTTTTAGGTACTCAGCATTTTTAACACAAATTACCATTTTTATTTATTTGTTTACATATCTTTCCATGCTGTAGAGCTGCTAAAAGTTTACTAATTTATTTTTATATTTGTTATTGTCTCTGATCTTTGTGAAATCATTGACATTTTTAAGCCCGCCGCACACTGGTGAACTTGCCGCGCGTACTTCTTATTCGTGACAAGTGTGATCGACAAAAGTTCCTAGTGTGCGCGGAAGTTTTGAACAACATTTGTTATTCGTGACAGATGAGTCAAATATCGAACGCGTATGATATTTGACTCATCTGTCACGAATTATACAATAAGAAGTACGCGCGGCAAGTTCACCAGTGTGCGGCGGGCTGTATGCTTGTTTTTGCGCGCCTGAAAAGCGAAATTCGCACAATATTTTCGTTAAAGATTCCTCCTTTTTTAAAATTTTGAATGCATACGCGGTCTTCGCAAAAAAATTGTGAACCCAAGATCTCGGATGCGCAATACCAAATTTCCGGTCTGTTGTGTATCATAACTTATGTTTACAACTAAATCTCAAACAAGTCTATCTTTTTTATTCATTTCATTTTCTAAGAGTACACAGCAATCGGGCGAAGAAGTGTTATGTCCTTCCAAACATAAGGAGGCCCGTACGCACATGACAATTTTACAGCACAACTTAAATGACCTCCACCAAAAAAAGTGTACAGCTTACAGAGTTCAAAATTCAGTTTTACATTGAATTATATAATCGTTGTCTTCATGTTTGTATTATACTACCCTCTTGCTTTAAAATCATCGACACTACAGATACTACACTCGCACTCAGAATCAAAGAAGCACTTCACATTAACAAAACTAACCCTAATCTCAACGTCTAAGTTTTCCGTTTTAACACTACATTCAGCCTGTAAATACTTTCATCATTAATTCTAACTAGTATTTCATTGTAATATAATAATCTATTCATAAGTGTATAAATTGTCTCACAGTATCATATTACTCTTATATACTGTATATTCATCATATACATAATACTCCTTATTATACTGAAAATGGCATCATGAGATGTTGAAACATGTTTATTTTAAAAAAACTTGTCGTTTTTATTAAATGCGCATTTTTTTTTTGTGCTTTTACGCAGTTACGATAAAATTTGTGAGATATTTTTAAAGAACTCCACTTGTGTGTTTGAGATCATTCATTGTTATGTTGGAACACACACCAACAATTATAATGTATAAGCTTTTATTTGTAATGATTAATAACAGACTAACCCCCAGGTAAAACAGTTTCCTCACGTCATGTATTATCAAGTAATCTATTTATATCTTTATGTAACCATAAATTGTTTATAGCTGGGCAACTGTTTTTGTTCACCACTTATGAACTTAATGTTTTTACGCTCTTTTTTATCATTCATTTTTATCTTATAGATGGTGGAAATCCTGGAGCTATTGCTGGTGCAGTTGAATCTACTGTTCTGATCATTATTCTTCTCGTAATGGCCATTCCTTTCGTTACGATTAAGTCAAACTCTGCTATCGTACAGTAAAATACGTATTGAAGTTATTCGACAGCTACTGACAGCACTTGATTAGAGTAAATAGTTCTTAATTTAAATTTTAATTAATCACATACTTAAAACACTCTATGGCGACTGCTCACTTCCAATTCTCTATCTATAGGTTGGTTTAATGCATGTTTGTTTTGTTCATCAAACGCGTTTGACATTTGACTCATCTGTCACGAATGAAAAATGTTGTTCAAAACTTCCGCGCACATTAGGAAATTTGGTCGATCGCAATTGTCACAAATATCAAGTACGCGCGGCAAGTTCACCAGTGTGCGGCGGGCTTAAACGCATGCTTTCAGGGATATTAGCGATTAAATGTGTTGCAAGTCGAGGCGAAAAGTCCGGCGCAGCCCGACGGACTTTTAATACATCTCCCGAGGCTTAAGAGAACAAATAATCATTAATATCCCTGAAAGCATGCGTTTACTTTTTAATAACATGGTTGCAGAAGGAATAATCAATGCACGAAATTCTTCCGTTTGACAATAACGAATTCAATTTTGAGCTCACCTATTTGAATATTGACAACCATCGCTTGTGTTTGAAGCGCACATTGTTCATTGTCCCTATGAATATTATGATGAGGGTATTTAGTCTAAACGTCCCTGTTGAATGTACTGATGAGGAATATTTAGTCTAAACGTCCCTAATGAATATTATGATGCGTAAATACGTCAGTAAACGTCCCTGTGATATCAAGAGGCAACAATGTTATTACATAGTTAAATGCTGTTAATGTCTTAATGTTGACAATGACCATACACAGTCTCTCAGATCTATAACACTTCATTCCAGGCTCATTACAGGTAATTTTACAAATAAATGTAAACAAATTTCTTAAAGCAAATAACAAGAGTTTTTTTAAAAAAAGAAAACATAAGTGTATGCCAACATTTTCAAAACAGCAGGGACAAAAAAGTAAAGAAAGCTTTGTCTCAGTTTAAATAATACTTTATAATAAGCCTTTTATTAACTTCGCTTATTCACTCTTAAACCCCGCCGGTCTGTACATAAAAAAATATCTGATCTGATATTTCTCTTTAAAGAGTTCGCGATTGCATATAGTAAGGGCCTTATAATGCAACTAACTTTAATACGGTTTTTTGGAATCGTATCGAAATGACGTTTTTAATTTTTTAATGCTGAACCCAATCGCTTAAACATTATTTATTCATTATTCCTTAAAGCATTATTTTTCTTGCAGTATCTCATTTTAGTTGTACAGCTGTCTTATTGTGTGTCCATGGTTTGAACAAACACTTCTAGGCAATACAAAAATACCTGGTTTAATGTTGAAAATTTTACTGTATATTTAGGTTCGACACAAGTTGTTGTATTTGGGGCCTGAAATTTTGCTATTGATTGTTGGCAAAATTGAATTTACTGTCGGTAAAGTTAAAAACTTGATAATGTTATGGGAACAGTACAATTTTTCGTCATTGAGCACTTGAAGTCATTAACCTCTAAACCGTGTTCATTCACTTTAGATGCATTAATTATGCTTCGTTGCTTCGTAGCTATAAACAGAGGTAATTCTCAAAATTATCAAAAACTTTATCTTCTATGACATTGCTTCGTCAACCAAACCACAGCATCCATATTTCTTAAATCAATTAAAGTATTATTGTTGATTCGTAAAGGGCAGGATTTGACGCAAAAAAATTCTGTAAAATATTAAAGTGCTTATATTACGAATTTTAGCCCCTCTTTTTTATGAGCTTAATTGAAAATTTGTATTATTTGAAGAACTATGACTTGTCGCTGGACTTAAACAGATAAATATAAGTTCCTTAATTTTGCCTCCAAAGTCGGGAACTATTGGCGAATTTTTTACGACGCCATGTTGATACTTGTGACGTAGATAGTTGAACACGTCTGTTTCCGTCAATATAATATTATATTATAGGAGGTGATTTTGTTGTCGTTTTTCTTGTCTTAAAAACAAATAATGACAGTATTTTCAACAAAATATTAAAAAAACAAATTTTCCGAAATCGAACTCGGAATCCGTGGGTTATGTCCAGCATTTAAACGACTTTGCATATGACGATGAACGGCTCGCAGGAGATGGTGATGAAGTGCATACTCCAGATGATCCCGATGGAATTCTCCCTGCGACATTAGAACAACGAAGTGATGGCGTAATTCCACTCGGTGAATGGTAAGTTGTTGTTTTCTCCTTTTTGTATTATACATAAAGTTACTTTATAAACCACAATGCTCCCACGTTTCAGGTGTAATTGTCAATGCTGTCATACCGATTTGTTAGAAGGCGCATTAGAGTACAGATGCTGTAAGGAAATAGGACCAGCTTTGCAGAAAATGACATTCGATGGCAGCATTGAGAAAATATCATGCATAACACAGCATGCCAAATTTGGGCATTTAGCTCATGAGGCTGTCCTTGAAAACGTCGGGCCACTATTGAGAGATAGGAATGGATGTGCTTATCGCCGCCAAGCATCACAATCATTAAATATGTAAGATTGTTAATTGTATGAGAAACAATGTTGATGATAACATCAACATCAACAATAATTAGTCCAACCTTTTTATTTACTTCAGGTACTTGAGAGCTGTGGCATACAGATGGTTAATGCGATGGTTTTGTGGGTCTGTGGGATGGGAGAATACTCGGCCTTTACCTGCTTGTGTTTACCACTTTATTCGGAAAGCATATCCAAGTGGTAACACAAAAGGTTGCATACAATCAGAGGGGCGATTATGGAATAGTCTTTTAACTTTTGCACTGTAGAGACTGTTGACCTTCTTTGCTGAGTTTGGAATGGTCAGGAAATATGCCTAGATGAAAACCAAATAGGAGATACATGGATGCACTATATAAGTTGACATGCAGTTTAATGGTTTGAAACAAGAGTAAACAATAAAAACAAATTGGTGCAACTACTGAGAGGTTAAGCTGAAAGAATTAAATGAAAGAAAATCTTTTCTTCAATGTCAGTCTGGGAAAAAAGACAAAAGAAAAAATATATGGAATTAAATCATAGAATAAATGTAAAAATGGAAAATAGCAAGCCGTTTAAATGGCGGATCGTTTGCTTCCCCAGTGCATACTTCAACATGCTCAGCTCCATCACTAGTAGATGGTACTTCCTCATTGAGAGAGCATGTTTCCTTCAACGATGGCTTATGGAGAGTATGTCGAATAATCTACAAAACTTATATCGAATTTACATATGACAAAAGAAAAATTAACATAAACAAGCGTAAACTTACTTGTCTTCGCTTTCGATCGGTTATTTCGTCCTGTAATGGTTCAGGAATCCCAGCCACGTCAATGGTTGAGATAGCATCTTTCTTCAACCTTCTTTTGAGCTTGACTTGCACGTTCAAATTCTCAAATTAAGGTCAAAACAAGAATCTTCAAAATACGCAGAACACAGACACGAGGTAGAGGAAGCCTCAAAACCCGGTCTATGTTTACGCACAAAATTTACCCATTTTCTATGTCTTCGCGGCTCTGTTTCTTTTTTAGGAAACAGTTGCATCGACGTTCCTTCGGTTTTTGAATCATTGGCGCAACTAATTTGATTAGGTCCGCCAGCAACACAGCGTTTTCCTCCGCGTTTCTTATTAAGATTACTAGTAGAATACGCCATGTTGATATATGTGTTCAACTTTCTACGTCACAAGTCATTAGCATACCTATCAAAAAGTTCGCAAAAAAATGCTGAAAATCGTGACTTTGAACGTCCGTAAAATCCCTTTCACCAATCCAATTTCAATTATAATTGCAGATTTAAAATCACTGAAACAAGGTCTTTCAATTTAGCTAATAAAAAAGGGGGGCTAAAATTCGTAATATGAACACTTTGAATAACTGAGGCAGATGGCATAAGTGCATGTTTATATATTTTCAATACACGCTACTGCACACTGGAGGAAACAGCTTTGGCCAGCAGTTACGAGTAAAACTTTGCAAAAACCACAACTCTATTGTTCGTCATACTCGTACGAATCTTAACTTTTCTCTGTTTGTTTAAGGTGTATTTCGGCAGTTGCCTTATTGTTGGTGTTTTTCTATCAAAGACTTGAAGACAATAAAAGAACAAAACGTAAGATGTAATAAATTTCGTGGGGAGAGGTTATCATATTCATACTTTAATTCATCAATTTATATATTGATAGGTTGCAATCCGTGATCACAAATTTAAATTCTTTAATCCTAACAATAAAAGAACAAAAGGTAAGATGTAATATATTTCATTAATTACAGTTGATGGTAAAAGGAATGTTTGTTTATCCTCGTTGCTTTGCTAGCAGTTAACCTTTTAAAAGCCTGAATAATTACGTACCAGTTTTCCAACATTAAATAATTACGTACCAGTTTTCCATAATTAAATAACTACCTACCAGTTTTCCATCTTCCAGAATTAAAATTCAGCTTCCGTTTGGTATCAACACCTTTTAAATTTCCCCCTCTTAGACGGCGTAATGGAAGGAAACGTTCTGGGTCCGTTAAAAAATCAAATGTAGAAAAGGTCAGACATCACGGACCATCTGTAATAAATCAAGTATTTGTTGGAAGCCATAACATTGGAAATATCAAAACCCCTGATAACATCAATAGCCCGATGAACAGTCAGGATGAATCAGTTCTTGTCCTGATGGATGAGAAAGTTTACGAGAACAATGCTGGTAATCTTTATATAATTAATTGGCAACATCAGTTTGTGTGTTGTGTATTTTAACATGTTTTTGTGGCTGTTCGTGATGACAGGTTTTTTGTCTACAATAGCTTAGAGCTTTACTCCTTGTTACTTAGTTTCGTGTGTGTTAGTTAAATTCATGTGTCAATTTTCACACGTGTTACTTAGTTTAATGCGTGTTAATTTCATGTGTATTAATAGAAGTAAACCCTCTTCATTGTGCTTGTAAACTTTTCAAATGACCTGCTTTTTTAAAGATAATTACATACTTATTTTCTCTCCTATTGATGTTTTCCTTTTTGTACTCTTTAAGCTATTACCGCCAAGGATCGTCAACCAATTCCCATAGCAATGTTCGAGAGACACGTGAGGAAACTGAAGCATAACAACATGAAGGAACTAAAGTTAGAGTTCGAGGTATTGTTGCACCATTTATCTTTGAGTTAAGCGCCTGCGCATTTAATTGAAAGTTTTTACTTAGGTTTTCGTTGTAAGAGACGCGAGCTTATCATTAAAAGCTCGTAATAATTGTACAAACGATCTACTTACGTATATAAAAAGTACGTAAAACTGCAAGTTCTTATCACATAATATAAGAAATTTTTCCGTTGTCACAGTTAATCGTCTGTCCCATCAAACTACCCAAACTTTCACACGTTTTTTTTGACACTGTCACACATTTGGTGTAACACTTAAATGATTTTGATTTTCTACAGGATTTACCAAATGGTCAAATGTCCAATTGGGATGTCGCGAAGAAACCTCACAATACTTCATAAAACCGATATGGAAACGCTGTCACAAGTAAGATTATTAGCCAAGAAACTTTCAATATTCCGAAACTTGGTGGAAGCACAGTCATGTGTAAGATTATGGACGAAAAAACTATACCATAATGACGATAACTGATTGAAATGCAGTCAGATGTAAGATTATTGACTAATAAATCTTACTACTAATAAAAACGGAGCAATATTGATTATTAGTCTAAGAACCATGCAATACTAATGAAGGCCGTTTCATTTAGACAACCATTCTCGTGTGATACTCTCCGGAGATGAAAAAACTGACTATATTAATGCTTCACTTGTCGACGTAAGTGTTCTACAAAGCTTTAGTTCGTTAATTTAGCCATATACAGGGTGTCCCCCGAAAAACAGAATCCACACAAACTAATTTTATGTGTGCCGAAGTTACTATGCACAATACTATCACTATAGCATTCACATGCTGTTGGATGAACTTGACAGTTCTGCACCTCTGGTATCCCATGGAGTTTGTATACAGTATTACTGAAGCAAAGCAAGGAAAAGTACGTACTATCATACACGTACTTTCATATCAATTTATAACGCAAAATCTTTCTAATATCAAAGCGACATTAACAATGTTAAAACGGCCACAAAAACGTAATCGTATTTTCCGTGATTTGCATTGAACATTGAAAGACTAGCGTATAAACAAATCAACCAGGCGGAACAAACAGCTGTTGCAGACTAAAATAATCCTCCATTGTAGGTTAGTGATGACATGTGTAGTAAATCTTAACATAATCCTCCATCGTACATTAGTGATAACATGTGTAGTTATTCTTACTATAATCCTCCATTGTTAGTTAGTTATATCATGTGTAGTAAATCTTAACATAATTCTCCATTGTACATTAGTGATAGCATGTGTAGTTATTCTTAATATAATCCTCCATTGTTGGTTAGTGATAAGATATGTAGTTTAAAGTACTAGCTTTTCTCCTCACTGCAATAGTTTTGACTATGTTGCCAACAAGAATGAATGCAAGACGATTTTGTACCTGGGGATGCTCATGCTTGAATTGAATTTTGTTGCTGTTTACGGTTGTCTATTTGTCTTTGCCTTTTTTTGTCAGGAATTTTATATGCTTGGCAACCAGTGTAGGATACAGTTGAGGGAGGACGGTGTGAAATGGTGCAAACCTCTTCTCTCTCTGGACTATTTATAGTATATTGAAATGCATGCATTAAAAGCTTGCACTAATAACATGCATGCACTTAGTTTTATTGTTTACGTATTTGCTGACGTGTGAATTTATAGTAAGCTACCATTGATAGTACACGAGATCTTTTTGTCTGGGAAGTTCAGTGTCGTAGCAGAAGTGGAATTTCAGTGTCGTAGCAGTTCAGGAGAAGTTCAGTGTCGTAGCAGAAGTGGAAGTTCAGTGTCGTAGCAGTTCAATGGAAGTTCAGTGTCGTAGCAGTTCAGTGGTAGCTCAGTGACGTAGCAGTTCAGTGGAAGTTTAGTGTCGTAGCAGTTCAGTGGTAGTTCAGTGTCGTAGCATTTCAGTGGGAGTTCAGTGTCGTAGAAGAAGTGGAAGCTTAGTGTCGTATCAGTTCAGTGGAAGTTCAGTGTGGTAGCAGTTCAGTGGAACTTCAGTGTCGTAGCAGTTCAGTAGAAGTTCAGTGTTGTAGCAGAAGTGGAAATTGCCAAAATTTCCCACTTGGTGTGCTTCACCCAGTTTATAAACACTTGGTTTTTGTGTGGGGACACGAGCTCGTTTTAGTGGATGGATACTGCATATTTTAGGTCATTGATACGTTACAGGTTGATATCTCGTTAATACTAGTAAATTTTTCCGTTTGCTTTCTTCTTATAGCGCTGGTGTTGGTCGTACTGGAGTATTTATTGTCATAGATAAAATCCTCGATGATCTTGATGATGATTATGAAACAAATATTCATGTATTTGGCTTTGTGAAAGAGATGAGATCGCGGCGAATAAACATGGTGCAAACAGCGGTATGTCAATAAATGTATAATAAGGACATCTTTACACATACAGTACTTCAGTCCTTATGTGTTCCAGTCTTAGTGTAGATTGATCTTTTGTATAATTACAATAGCTATGTTGCTCTATATAAAAATTAAAGCCCTTATCACAAGGAATCCAGTGCAGTGTCTTCATTCCTTACTATTCACTATTGTAAAATATTTTGTGGGATTTGTCTCTTGTTAAGGCTGAAACACACTGGGCAGTCGCTTCAGTCGCGCGTCCAAAGCGAATTGATGCGCACGCGTCAGTCGCTTGAACGCTAGAAACACACATGCAGCGACCATCGCGACATTTACCGTGGCGTCTATTGAACATGGCGGTGATTTTAGTTTGTTACAGACACAGATATCACTTATACTTTTTATTTTGGCCTTTATTATAGCTACTAATATATGAAGACTAACTAATATGTGGAGAAAAGAGAACAAGCCAGTTAAAACACGCCAATATGATCATAGCACATTACGGGTATATCGTGGATAATCCTATTCTGTGCATTTAGGTTGTGCATTAGGGTTCCAGTTTGTAGCTCCTATTGTCCCTATTTGATAAGTCATATAAAAACTGAAAGAATCCAGTGTGAATTCACTATATATTGCCTTCGTTTTCCAAGGTATAATCTACAAATTTCGTATGATGCTTATGACAGGAAATATGATATGCATTTAGGAAGTTAAAATGTATCTATTGGCCAATCAGTGTAAAGCGACTGAAGCGACCAAAGTCAAAAGTTCAACGTGTTGAACTTTCAAAGCGACTAGCTGACGCAACTGCGCTACTAGCTTAGTAACCACGCAAAGCGGTAGTTTTAGACGCGCAACTAAAGCGACTGCCTAGTGTGTTTCAGCCTTTACTCCTTCTACACCATTCGCTCATCATTAAAGAAGATTAAACATTTAATTATGCAATTTTACTTAACAGTAGAACAGTAGAATATTCATTAACTTGAAGGAAGAATCAAGAGCACCAGTAGACAATAGCATTTATTTATACTGCTTAACAATTGGCAATATTTAAGTCGCATTAATGCGCATTTAATTCAAGAAAAGTTTGAATCATTTGGATAAAAAGACATTTAAATAAACAAATGTATATGTTGTGCAACAGATAGTCTGTTGTAATAGGTATAATTTGTTGCACATTGTCTGTTGCAATCGCGACACTGTACTTCTTTTTTCTTACAAAGTAAGTATATACATGTTGTGCTATTGATTGTTGACTGCTGCTCTTGATGATAAATATTCTACAGCACTATTAATAAGTCAAAACATGTAATTGAATGTCCCATGTTATTAGATGATGAGCAAATGATATATTTGAAGAAATGTGTTAAATTACTTTTTGGTGAATCAAACATGGCAACAGACTCATGGAAGGTACTTCCTACTGCTTTTTGTTCATGAAAAATTTTATTTTCATTTCATTTTGCTGTTAATGTTTTCTTACTAATTAGAAACATTTTATGACCTTTTCTTACTAATTAGAAACGTTCTCTAATGTTTTCTTACTAATTAGAAACATTTTATAACCTTTTCTTACTAATAAGAAACATTCTATAATGTTTCTTACTAATTAGAAACATTCTATGACGTTTTCTTACTACTTAGAAACACTCTATAATGTTTTCCTACTAATTAGAAGCATTCTATAATGTTTTCCTACTAATTAGAAACATTCTATAACGTTTTCTTACTACTTGAAAACATTCTATAATGTTTTCTTACTAATTAGAAACACTCTATAATGGTTTTCTACTAATTACAAACATTCTATAATGTTTTCCTACTAATTAGAAACATCCTATAACGTTTTGTTACTATTTGGAAACATTCTATAATGTTTTCTTACTAATTAGAAACATTCTATAATGTTTTCCTACTACTTAGAAACATTATATAATGGTTTCCTACTAATTAGAAACATTCTATAATGTTTGCCTACTAATTAGACACATTCTATAAAAATTTCTTAATAATTAGAAACATTCTATAATGTTTTCTTACTAATTAGAAACACTCTATAATGTTTACCTACTAATTAGAAACATGCTATAATGTTTTTTTACTAGTTAGAAACATCCTATAACGTTTTCTTACTACTTAGAAACATTCTATAATGTTTTCCTACTAATTAGAAACATTCTATAATGTTTTCTTACTAATTAGAAACATTCTATAATGTTTTCTTACTAATTAGAACATTCTATAATGTTTTCTTATCACTTAGAAGCATTCTATGCGAACAAATGGGTCTCAGGGCTATGGTATTGGTGACCATTACCTTTCAAATGGTGTTCATGTAAGACACAGGGAAACAGGTGTCATTGAAAAACTTTGTGTAAGTTATTTTAACAATTCAAAGTCAGTTTAGTATGGAGTTTTTATGATCTGGTCCATGACCCAAATTACTGCAAAAAAATGCTTCTCGACTTTTTTTAAAATTTTTTCATGGATCATTATGTGACATTGACAAATGCAAAAGTTTGCTGCAGATTCTGCTGTATTTACAAAGGTGTTCTTTTGTAGAGTAAGTTCCTTCAAGATAAGAATAAGATGTACAATGAAGAAGTAAAAAATTTATCTATGACCGAAAAACTTGTGTTTTAAAACACGAAAAATATGTCACTTTGTTCATCTAAAAGTGTATTTGCATGATATCTAAAAGTTTGCAAAAATGGTTTCGATTTCAATAGCCTTTGTAGAGGAAGCTGTAACCGTTTTGCACTGTTTGGTGTCTTATTTTTTGTTCTGGTCAATTTGAAAAGCTTTCTATTGAAACTTCCATTCGGACTGTTTGCCCCAGTAATCTATGTTTTAAGATAAATCTAATGATATCAAGTCCCATTATTGGACATTGGCACTTTCATCCAATGTCCAATAATGGGACTTGATATCATTAGATTGTGAAAGTACTTTCAACTGAAACTCACGTGCCCATTTGTGTAATATTAATCTACACCCTGTGTGAGAACATTAAACCACATTTGAATTAATTCAACCACATTTGAAAACATTCATCTACATTTGAATACATACATCTTCCCTTGTGTACATTTAACCACATTTGAATACATTCATGAACATTTGAATACGTTCATCTACTTTTGTGTACATTCAGCCACATTTTAATACATTCATCTACATTTGAATATATTCATCTACTTCTGTGTACATTTAACCACATTTGAATACACTCATGAACATTTGAATACGTTCATCTAATTTTGTGTACATTTAACCACATTTGAAAACATTCATGTACATTTGAATACGTTCATCTACTTTTGTGTACATTCAACCACATTTGAATACATTCATGTACATTTGAATACGTTCATCTACTTTTGTGTACATTCAACCACATATTAATACATTCATGTACATTTGAATACGTTCATCTACTTTTGTGTACATTCAACAACATTTGAATACATTCATCTACATTTGAATACATTCATCTACTTTTGTGTACCTTCAACCACATTTGAATACATTCATCTACATTTGACTGTATTTAACTACATTTGACCGGCAATGAGTGCTTTGACATCAACATGTGTATTAATGACATCTTCCATAATGTTATTGATATATATTCTCTAAGTTCATCCCCTCTAAAAGTACATTCAGTCTTTTTTCTATATTATTTATGCAGCAAAGTTATGGCTTTATTGAGTGTGCTGAACAGGATCTTCGAGTGTTCTTTCATTACAGTCAGTACAAAGGACATTCAAGTGAACTGGAACTTGGTGGTTTGTAAATTTTGTTTATTTTCACCCTTCAATGACTCTTATATTACTTGTTATGTGTGCAACTACACAATTAGTATTAAATTGCTTTTCTGAAACGTTGATATAATATCATTCAAGTAATAGGTTTGTTGCCTTTCTGCTTTTTCATAAGGGGAACAAGCTTTTTTTGTGGGCCTATTGAGTTATTCAGAGCATTTGTTTCATCAGTCATTATTTGAAAAGCATTCTTTGTCAAGTAATTCATTGGGTTTCCTCATATGACTTTTTACTCTCTACCATAATCAGTGGTGGACACTTTATGACATATTGGGAGGGGGAAGCTCATCCTCAAGGCATGAGATTTCTATGGAGATTCCTGGGCATACCTTTGTTAGTATACTTTTAAAATTTGATCTCCACCATCTGAATCCCACCACAGTACATGTTATCAACACGTGGCTTTCACGTGACTTCACGATGTTGTATCAGGGTGTTCTTTGCTATTCTAAGTTGCTCTGCTCTGTCTTTTTAATGTGAATGTGATGGGTACTCTGAAGGACTCTGTCTGCAAAAAAAGTGTGTCCAAAAGTTACTGTTAGTTATAAAACAACTTTTCAAACTCATGTATAGTCTTTGTTTTATTGTGGGGTAAAACGAAGCAGAACTTTTGTTATTTACCTAGTCAGAACAAACCACTGATCATTGACTTGTTAGGGAATTTCACACTGTAATCCTTCACCCATCCGCCCCACCCCGCCTATCCCCTTGTCTCTACTGCTATTGCAAAGGCCACTGCTCTGGGCTATAATCTGAAGTGTAAAAACATTTCGATTGATATTGATAGATTAAATCTTTTTTTGTTTAGACTGTGTGGAGTTTGAAGTGACATCAGATTCTCGTAAGGATAAACCAATTGCATGTCGAGTAGTGAAATGGGAATAAGGCTCTGTTACATTTGAATTAAGTGACCTTGACACCTTGTGTACTTTTTGACGCTTGGCGTGTATGCACGTTCATCCTGGTTTGGTTTAGAAAGTTTTTCGAGAAACTGAGAAATCGCCTTTTGGTGAATCATCCATTTATGTTTCCATTGTAGGAAAAGAGCGAGGAAAGAGTTGCTGGTAAAGTGGAAGTTGAGGCGAGGTTGTTGATAAACAGCTACCCCAAACAGGTGATTTTCATCGTGATCAATTAGCTGGGAAAATGTAATAGTCATTGGCGAAACAAACGCGTTAATTGAGGGATGGGGAGGAGTGGGTGGAAAAAAATTCATCTATGCACGTCTTTTAAACATGTAACACAATTGAACTAAATACAGCAGGACATGCATATGTGGAATATATGGATGTGTGCTCACCCCCTCCCCCCAGTTATCGTGATTGCTACACCACTATTCATTATGCATATTGCTTTAAAATTACTCGTTGTTAATGGTCGTGTATGAATTTTTTGAGTTGCGTATTGCTATTGTTTTATCGTACTTTAAATGTTTGTGATGTCGTTTTCGAAGAAAAGCTCATCATTTTTGTAGCAGTTATTTCGCAATGTCGAGTTCGAATGTGGTCGCGTTAGTTAGGAAGTGAACGGAGTAAGTACTGTTTGAACTTCTTCAATTTTTTATGCATCTTCACGTTGCTAACTTTTATACCTAAGTCATTTTTGGGGTTGAGAGACAAGAATTAATGTAAAATGTAAAAAGTATCAAACTTTTTACTCAACATCTTGTATCGAACATTTATCGATTGGGCCTGCAAATTATTGACATTTTCCTTCTTTTTTTTTGAAACAGGTTTTCGCCATTATTTTCTATTTGGATTTTGATCGTTCCCTCCGCACCATAGAAAGCTTGCTATGCATATTTTGCCGTATTAAATTAATTTTTTAGGCTTTTTTACATGCGTACCTACATAAACATTGATCACCCTCCCCACCCGCACAATTATCGAGGCTATTATAGCGCCACTGTATTCTCGCCTTTGATAAGTTAAAATTATACTGCAATATGGGATTGCATAATACAGGTCTGCGCAGTCGGGGGTGGAGTTTAAAATGAATGTATGATACAGGTTTGCATGGTCAGGGGGGGTGGTGTTTGAAATCATTGCCTAATAAATGTCTGCATGATCAGTGGGTGGAGTTTAAGTTCATTACATAATACAGGTCTGCACGGTCAGGGGGTGGAGTTTAAGATCATTGCATAATACAGGTCTGCACGGTCAGGGGGAGGATCATTATGATTCGAACCGTTGCTATTTTTGTCAGGGAATTGTTTTTTCTTCCATATCATCAAGCTGATGTTTTATCAAAGTCTCACATCTACAAAGGTGATACTGTGTCTTTTTACATCCGGGAAAACAAAAGGTAAATTATATTCTTTGCTATAGCGTCGAAAGCTTGTACTGTTTCTCTAGATTGTATCACGTGCTTCATCGCGTGCATTACATTACGTGGTTAAGCATTGAAAGCACAGTCTTAAGAATATTCTTTCTATTTTGGTGAAGTCTTTCTCCTTATTTCTACGCTTTGATATGCTAACTTACACAGGAAAACGCTTTGGTTAACGCTTATAACATGAATGTTAGTTTATTATTTACACGAACCACGTCCAATTTACGAGCCATGTCCAAATTGTTGTTTGTTTGATGCACTGCTACAGTACATAAACCTCTATAGAAATGGACAATGCTGTGCCGTGGAGTTGTTGCTGCTCGAAGCTTCGCCTCCTGTTTACGTTCAAGGAATTGTCTGCTCGCTCAAGGAATCGTTTGGCTTTATCGACAGAGCTGACAAAGTGAACGAGGTTTGTGATTGGGCCGTTGCAGTTGCTAACTGTAGATCAATATTGATAATTTATTGTTCAATACAAAATGAGTTCTATCAGTTATTTCACTTGTGTATACGATTTGATCATTTGTAATTTATTTTATACACGATGACTTCTGATTGGCATTTGACGTAGGATTGGAAATTTTCGGTCTTCAAACGAGTCACGTGACTCAACTGACGTATTTTTGTGATAGCTGACGACAGCAACAAGTTTATGTTTGGAAATTCGTAAAATTTGTTTGTAAAAACTTGGCCAATTATTACGACGCTACATCTACGTACCCACAAACCTATAACATTAGTAAAGTTTGTTTGTAAAAACTTGGCCAATTATTACGACGCTATATCTCCGTACGCACAAACAGGTAACATTCGTAAAGATTGTTTTCTAAAAACTTGGCCAATTATTACGACGCTACATCTAAGTACGCACAAACATGTAACATTCGTAAAGTTTGTTTGTAAAAACTTGGCCAATTATTACGACGTTACATCTACGTACGCACAAACATGAAACATTCGTAAAATTTGTTTGTAAAAACTTGGCCAATTATTACAACGTTACATCTACGTATGCACAAACATGTAACATTCGTAAGGTTTGTTTGTAAAAACTTGGCCAATTATTACGACGTTACATCTACGTACGCACAAACATGTAACATTCGTAAAATTTGTTTGTAAAAACTTGGTCAATTATTACGACGCTACATCTACGTTCGCACAAACATGTAACATTCGTAAGGTTTGTTTGTAAAAACTTAGCTAATTATTACGACGCTACATCTACGTACGCACAAACATGTAACATTCGTAAAGTCTGTTTGTAAAAACTTGGCCTATTATTACGACGCTACATCTACGTAAGAACAAACATGTAATCAAGGTGAAAATTAAAGACTTGCCTTTTCCTCTTTGTGAAGTCTCGCATTTTACTCAGATAAATCGAGAAAGGTTCACCTAGAAACAAAGAAAATATTTCCGTATATCTTATTGCAATTCGCGCAAAAAGTCTACTGAAGTTTTATACTATATTTTTCTTTTAGATATTTTTCCACTACTGTGAATTTCTTGGAGATATTGGTGATTTGTTGATAGGAGATGATGTCCAGTTTATTGTACAAAATAGATATGTACGTTAGTTATGTATTATGCAGCCATTGCTCAATTTCGGACATTCTCTACCCCCCCCCCGTCTGTACTTATGTCAAGCAGTAACTCACAGGGTAAGGAAGTTGCAGTCTCAGTGTAGCGTCTACCAGAAGGTACAGTGAAGTTTGATGATGTTAGCAAAGACACATTTCAAGGCACCATCGAGAAAGTACATTGTCGGACAAAAAGACAGGAACCGTTAAATGGTGTGATATTGTACAACACAAGCCATGGTAGTTCACAGCTGCCATATTGGGAGAAAGATGTCTTGGGGGAGTTCACCGTCTTGACTGGGGATGTTGTTGGTTTTAAAATTGCTACAGGTAAATATGGTTTGTTGTAACTGTTGGTATTATTTCAACATGTGCAAGATCAATGAGAGATGATTTTGTTGATCTAGGGGAAGAACAGTTTAAGACTGATCGAGATATCTAGTATATATAGATAAAGTTACGATCGATAAAACAGGCGGGAATCGCACTCAAAATATAAATATTAAATTACTAAGTTAGTTTAGTTTAGGTTTCCTTCTTTAGTAACACTGGATCAATAAGAGCTTATGTTTACTGGATCTTTAGGAAGAAGAGTTTAGAACTGGTAGAGATATCTAAATTAAACAAGATTGGTTTAGTTTAGGTTTGTTTTTGTAGTAACACTGGATCAACAAGATATGATCTTAACAGGATCATAAGAAAGAAATGTTTTGGACTGATAGAGATATTTAGTAAATACAAAGTTAATTTAGTTTAGGTTTCCTTTAGTAGTAACACTGGATCAATAAGATATGGTCTTTACTTGATCATGAGAAAAAAAGTTTAGAACTGATAGAGATATTTACTATAAATAAAGTTAGTTTAGTTTAGGCCTTTTTCTGTTGTAACACTGGCTCAAAAAGAGATGATCTTTACAGTAAGAACTGTTCAGAACTGATAGAGATATTTAGTATGAATAAAGTTAGATCAGCTTAAGTTTCCTTCTGAAATGTTAGCCTAACAGGTTGTTAAAATCTAGGCTCTTATATGCGGAGTTTTACTTTACTCCATACTTCAGCCTCATATCGAATCTTAGTTAAAAATAATTTCGTTACTGTAAAGATGGGTTTTCCATCAACATAATTCTTTAAAACTTCAACTAGTCTTCCTTTGCTTAGGCTTTACCATGCTTAGACGTAACATTTTGTTTTAAACTGGTTATTTATCTTCCTTATTGCTGATTGAATGTTTTAGTTTCTTGTTTAACGTGCATGTCTGAACATTTGTAGAAAATACCAAACGTGTTTGTACCTTACAGAATCACCAAGCTTTCAAACTATAGTTTTCCTTTGAGTGTTTCCAGTTGGATATAGGAACATGTCCATACAATGAAAGAAATTAACAAATTTTCCCCATGATATCGGGAATATAAAGCACACTTTCATCTTTTAGCCACTCAGTCAAGCGATACATCTCTTCTTTTCGTGCAGATTGGATTGATTCTTTAAGAAGAGCAACGGAAATTCATCTCATCTAAGAGAAAGAGTAAGGTTTTAATTCTCATTTACATGTGCTAGTGTTTAGACAGCGTCATGAGGAAGCCATTTCTCCAAATTTTGCGGGTAATTGTTGACCTTTATCACTGTGATGGCAAATTTTAATTGCTTGGAGTTATTGTTTGAACTTTTCCCCTCCCAGTATATGAGTACTTTGTCCACCCCCCGTCAAAAACATTAATCTCCCCCCTCAAATTGTATCTCCCTAAAAAGTTATATATGCTCTGGAAGCATTCAAAATTTCACAATGTATCGTTGAAAATAAAGGTTTGTCCAAAGTATTTTACTGTCTTCAATCTCTCATATTTTGTTGGGAGGTCTTTTATTTTTGACAACGCTAACAATATGCTCCATGGGCATTGGCATTGGGCATTTTTATTTTATGAATGTGGATTTTTAATTAGAGTGCACAGAATTTACTTAAATTCGTTTCCTTCTTAAAGATCTATGTAGAAATTGTTCGTGGTGTAATGTGATTAAATACATGATTTTTTATTCCTTGTTAGGATTTGTTTCGGATTTGAAAGACGGCTATGGCCTCATTCAGTGTTGTGATAGGGATACAAGATTATTCTTTCATTTCAGCGAGATGATTGACTACGTGAGTTTTCTTGTAATGGCAATCGTAAGCAAAAAACCTTTCAAATCAACCTCTTCTAACCACGTTAGAACAGCGTTTGCTACGTAAAGCTCGATATGTGCCAGTGAAAGTATGTCAAGATAAATCGATGGAGAAAGTAGCTTTGCTGATGTTAGTTTAAAGTATCGTTAAATGTTTGTAGATGAAGATCGTCCATGTTTAGTGAAGGTCTGAGAAGTTCTGTTGGTGTTGGTGTTGGTGTTGGTGTTGACTGTCAGCCGTATAACCAGAATTTTGACAACCTTCGCTGTAGGCTTCACTCTGTAAATGGCTACCACTAAGGTTGTAGAAACGTCAGTCAACATCAACAACAACAATCCTTCTCAGAATCTCCCGAACGTGGACGATCTACATCTACACACATGCAACGATACTCCTGGGCTCAAATCATTTACTTTAAAGCCTTATCAGTTAGTGCATGATCGTCTTGAAGTTATTGCTTGTCGTGATGCAGTTGCTGTTTTGTTTTCCATAGGAACAAGAAATTAACTTTTCCGTTGAAGTGGAGTTCAGTGTAGTCGAGGTTCGTGAAAAAAGATGCATTTTGAGATTTTTTGTCGACTGACTGATTTCTACAGCTTTAAAACACGTTCACAGAATCACGTGTCCGGAAGGCTGAATGCGATTCTTGTGAGAATCTTACCACCTGGAAACATAACTCTCCAGGTATAGTCACCATAGTGTATCAACCAATCATATAGTCACCCTAGTATATCAACCAATCATATAGTCACCATAGTGTATCAACCTATCATATAATCACCCTAGTGTATCAACCAATTATATAGTCACCCTAGTGTATCAACCAATCATATAGTCACCATAGTGTATCAACCTATCATATAATCACCCTAGTGTATCAACCAATCATATAGTCACCATAGTGTATCAACCAATGATATAATCACCCTAGAGTATCAACCGTATAACCAGAGTATTGACAACCTTCGCTGTAGGCTTCACTATAATTATTTGACGGCTACTTAAATTTTTCAAAAATATAGGAAGTTGAATTTTTTTCGAGAAATTATTAGACGTTTTCTGAAATTATAAAAGAATATAATTAAACATAAATTTTATTACCTTTTTAAGAGTGAATGAGAGAATGATACTGAAAAGTATTTGAAAACAATTTGGAACATAACATCAAATTTTTAGAATAAGGATGTAGTCAATATTTTAAATAGGATAACGGCTGTAATACTTTTTATCTAAATACATTAAATAGAGACTTTTCATACATTCATGTATTTTGGAGTCAGTGAAGTATGTATGAATATGTGCGCATTGTCATCTCATTAATCTACCTGACGTAAGAAACAGGAAGTTTTAGTGGGTGGAGATTACTTTGTTACCAACTATGTTAGTGTTAGTAAAATGTTGCTGTTATTGTCCTTTCCAGTTTTTCCTTATTATCCCCATTATAATATTCATTTTAAACTCATCCAAAATTATCGAATTAATTGAATTTTCTGATGATTTGATTGCAAGAGTGCTAGGAGCATTGTGTTTGGCTGTAGACTAGAGATCAACAAAAAGAAGAAATGGGTTGGAAGCAACGACACAAGATTTTACAAAACAAGGAAAATTCATGTGATCGAAAAACATATCCTCTCCTATAGTTTGTTGTTAACCCCTTTCCTTGTTTTTTCAACACTGGTTAGAAGACCCACCGAAAGATTGATCTAGGTAGTCGGTACCAAACTTTTGTAACATTGAACGCGGTTAAAATTTACATTTTCGTTCGAATTATGATTAATTTACGGAAAATATCAACTTGTTACAAATACAGAAATACAAAACATCATTCAGAGACTCTAGACTCTAGATATGAAAAATATAGCCAACACTATAACGAGTTTCTCCGATTCATTAGTTTTCATTAGTTGGAACTGATCTCCTGATTGGTTTTTATTCTTATCGTATTGGCAGTTCGTTAGGATCAATCTAAACTCTTGTACTCGAACGTGCAGTAGAATGAGTATTGAAGTTGTTCGACGACTACTGACGACATTTGATGAAAGTGAGTTCTTGACTTGCAATTTAGCCATTTGTCGGTCTAATAGAAAAGAATATTTTATCAGTGTAATTATTGGCAGCAGCCGACTTGTCCGAGAAGCATTGCTTGGTAAATCTCAAGAGAATGGTTGCAATTCAAGAATAGTTCTGAATTTAAATATAAATTAAAATTATCAAATGCTCAAAGCAAACACTCTATAGCGACTGTTCTTTTTCATGTCTCAATATATAGGTTAGTTTAACAACCGTTTGCTTGTTCATTAAAATTATTTAAGAATGATTGTAATTTGTATAGAAAAAATAAAGAACTTAGCTTTTAGAAAGGAAAATCACAACTCAACTTCTTGTTAGTTGTTACAATATGTTTATCAATCTGTTCTCTTTGTTATTATCAATGGGTATCACAAAATTAGACTCCTGTGTATACGTAGGCACAGGATGTACAATTTTGCATTGTGGAAGATGGTTTGTATTTTGGAAACATCAGAATATTCTAACCAACTATGAGAAAACTCAAGTACTACTGTAGCTCTTACCAAGTGTCGTGATTTGACTGCAAATGCTAGTTAACATTGTGCTTAGAAATGTCTTAGAATCAATGACACAAGATTTTACAAGATGTACAAATCAGAAGGTGCAATTGCCCAACTGGTTTCAATTTTTGGCTTCAGATTCAACTCCAGTTATTTAAATACTGAGTTCACTGGTTCACTGATGTCATGTAATATGGCGGATCGAAAAAATTTGGATAGTGTTGTGGTTACGGAAGAAATTTTGTCATTAAAAAGGTATTGAATTCACTTTCAATTTTAATTGTCAGTTCTTAAATATATCACCACATTTTTGTTCACTTTGTAGTTGGTTTGCGTTAATTTGACCTTTTGAAATTCAAAATAATTGCTTACCATGTTTTGAGACAAAGCCGATTAACAAAGACTCAGCAGACGGCAAAATATTCTCCTTTCCTGTATTTGTGTGCTACTCGTATTCTTCCTTTTGTTTTTTGCTTTTGCAATATCCAATTAAATTAAAACTATACGCTACAGTTTCTTCAAATAACCCTATTGAATTAAATTAAGAAACAAAGATTGACAAGCAATTTGATGTTCTGATGAAAACGTTTTTCGTTTGATACTTGATGTCTTCAAGAAATGAATCTCAGAATTGAATTTACAAATTGAAAAAGAACTTTAGATGTGCCTCGACTCTATTAAAGATACAAATAAATGTGTGTCTTTTGTCTGATTTATATGGAAATGATAATTGTATGTCTGACTTCGAAATTATGAGTCGCCTTTATCTGATGTGATTCATGTTGAAAGTTTTAACATATTTTTTGTCTGGTGATTAGTGGTTTGTCGTATGATCTGTGGTTTTATATTTGAAGTCTTCAAGAAGTGAATCTTAGAATTGAATTTCAGATATCAAAATTGCGAGTCGCCTTTATCTGATATGATTAATGAAAAAAGTAATAATATATTTTTCTCTGGTGATTAGTGTCATTTAAAAAGTGATCTGATGTTAAAACTCAAGTCATTATGTGTTCCAGTGTTTGTGTAGAGGGATTTTTTGTATAATTCCAATGGTTGTATAGCTTTATATAAAAATTAAAGTGATAAGTAATCCATACTACTCACTTTTCTTTAAGAGAAAAGTCAGAATCATTCGGATAAAAAGAAATTTGTATAAACATATTTAAGTCTCTGCTTTATATAATTTGTTGCAAATAAATCACTACACTTCTCTTTCATGCAAAGTTCATATGTATATGTTTATTCAGTAGCGTAGCCAGCTCGACTTTACTCACGCTACCCAAATATTTTTGCATTTATAAATACGACGAGTTTTTTTTTAAATAAATGTGTTTCAACATCTCATGATGGCATTTTCAGTATAATAAGAACATTATGTATATGCATGATAATTTTATATAAGAGTAATATGATGCAGTGATACAATTATCAGTAGATTATGAATATTAAAATGAAATACTGGTTGGAACCAATTTATGAGTGTATTTACAGGCTGAATATAATGTTAAAACGATAAACGTGAACGTTGAGATCACGATTAATTTTGTTAATGTGAAATGTTTTTTTAAAAAAACCCGTCGTATTTATTAAATGCGCTATATGAATAGTGCTTTTACGAAGTTGCAGCAAATATTTTTGTGTTTACTGACCGTAAGAACAATAGATTTCTAAAAAATACTTCTAGCTTATTAACTTTTAATTAGACAAATTAAAAGTTAATTTGTGATTACTAAATTTATGATCGCTAATCCTTCAAAATTTACAAAGCGGAATAAACCTGCAGACTGCCTACGCTACTGTGTTTATTTAAATGTTTGCTTTATCTTAATTTATGTCCCCTCCTTATATTCCCTATTGTTTTGCAGAATAACTAAGTGGATTTCTGCTCTTGGTTGTTCCTTCGTGTTTTTATGATTAAATGATTTGTTACATTTATTTATTTTTTGCTTCTTAGGATATTAAAAAGGTCGTATTATCCGTGATTCATGACATATCGTGGCCGGTTCATGATGTTCATAAAGATGTTCACAGTATGGTGGAAATTTTATCTGAAGTTGAAGATTCACAAAGAGCTGCTGATGTAAAGGGACCTGTCATTGTTGTGTGCAGGTAAACACGTGTCACTGGAATATTAGCAGTTGATTAGCCTGGTTTCTTTGCTCTGTTTCGTTAAAATTCAGCGGTTTAAGTTCTGTGTGAAGATCTCTACAAGAAATTTGCTACAAACTCAAAAGTAGCTATAATTTTATTTTTTCGCATCCAGTGATGGAGCAGGTCGATCTGGAACCTATATTGCTATCTCAAATCTTGTCGACCGAGTCAAAATTGTCCAAGCAATGGATGCCTTCCAATGTATCAAGCTAATTCGTAATGGACGCCCGTAGTGCGTCGAAACGGCGGTAAGCTTGTCTTTCTAATTCTCATGAAGCCCCAATGGCACCAACACCGAGCGCTATTGTCATTTATGAACTATGCAGCCTCTACTAAATAGACCATCAAAAATTCGTTGTTTTTACTTTATATATATCAACACTTTGACACATTTACAATCATTATATGTTGTATGGATATTGCCAAATTTCAACTTTATAATTCGTGCTTGTATGCGAACTTTGCTCTCATTATCGTAGCCTAACTGCATTTTTGGTCCTGCTATGTATGTCGTGCTATGTAAATCATCAACAATATTTATTTCTTTAGAAATTTGTTGTGTAATAGTTAGTCAACATTATTTACATATCAATTTGCCAGCTGGTTACGCTGATGGCTGCTCGGCTGTTTTTGTTCCTGATTTTCGTTTGCATTTTGAGAGTAGAAGTTTTTAGCTTGATAATAAACTTACGCCTAGATGGATAGGCGCCGAACTCCCCCTAACAATTATTTTACTGAACGTCTTTATATATGAGTTTTGATAGTTTTAGTGAAATAAAACAATGCGTGATTTAAGTAAAGAACGTATTCAAGGTGTCCCACTCCATGAAAAATAGAATTCTGCAGGCGCCACTGTCTGATGGCCGTTTGTCAAACGTCAACATAAATTTCCAAACAGAATGTTTCTGGACACTTACACATTGAATTTTGCTTAGTTCGACTAAACTTGGTGATGTACTTATTTTTTGATTATTTCTATAACATTTTTATCATTTAGGATCAATTCAAACTCTGCTACCATTCAGAAATTTTACCTGAATTGGAAGGTTTAAAAAAAACTGCTGAAGTCAAATGAGCTGTCATTGTTGTGTGGAGGTCATGTATGTATATGGAGTGCGCATTCATTTAACGTCTCATATAATCGCACGGGTATCGAAGCTCTCCTTTCTTCATGTACGTGGGAGGGGAGGGTGGGAACTATGCAACAAACTTTAATCCTTATATTTTGAAAATCAATTTTAATTGAAACTGGCGTATTCTTAATTCGATCTATGTTATTATGATGGAAATGATTTTTTATTTCAGTGGTGGTTCTATTTGATATCTCTAATCTTGCAGATTTCGTTAATCCGTCCAAGTGGTTGATGTATTTTAATGCATCTAATTGCTGCGTTGCTCTCTGGATCAAAGGTAAGTAATCTCGTTTATAGCAAAAGTATAAGCGACAATTTTTTTGCATGCAAGCAAAAATATGACTCTTCAATCACACGATTTTCCAAAATGTTGTACTTAAAGATTGAAATTGTTAGTCTACGTGTGTGAACTACATACAATCTTTCATCAATGAGATCTCCAATTCAGCAACCCGTTTTTCAAACTTGTCAATTCTTTCAGATGCAAAAAATCACATTGAAACATCGCAAGCGTAACTTACGGTGAAACAGCGCACTTTGATTGGTTCAGAAACATTTTTCTCTATTCTTTACTTTTTCATAATGGACCAGTAGTCCATTACATGTATATTTTCAAATAAATGTAAACAAACTTCGTGAAGCAAATAGCAAAACGCAAAAAACAAAAACAAAAACCATATGCGAATGTGAGTCGAAGAAAGAGCACTTGTAAAGTGAGTTTTATTATCTGGACGACACAATTTGAAACGATTTATTTTTTAAGATGGTAGCGAGAGGCGTGCTACAGCGTTAATCAAATTTGGGTGATAAAAATTAATGCCCAACATAAGGCTTTAAGTTGAGCCAAGGTATAGCAGTTTCAAAAATGGAATTTATTGTAACGTTTTGTCTTTACTTAAGACATCTTCAGACAATAATGAGTATTATTGCATTCTTAATAGGATATGCCACTTATACGTAAAGAATCATATTTACATAAGCTGTTAGAATACAAAAGATGACAGTGTCGAATACATTACATAAATTACGAAGTTAGGAAGCACAATAAATTGCAATTAAAAGGGATAGCGTGGAATACAACTCTCTAGGACGTTAGGTGAAGGCTTGTGATTAGAATGTTCTTATGAATAGAGAGTTTGTATGGATCGTGAGAAGAGAAAATTATTTTAAAGTCGTCAATATGGTGGTGTTTCCACATGTGTTTTTGTGAGCAAAATTGCTCGATTACGTAGGGCGCGATATTGGTTACCTTTGAGGAGAGATATTCCCAAATGCTTCAAAAATCTTGTGTCTAAATGACGTTTGTTTTGACACTCATACGATGCGTTGCAGCTGCCATACTTGAATAAATACACAAATGTAAAACTCACCCCTTCCATTAGCCGCAAACCTATACCCTCACTGACCTCTTCACTAACTTCCACAGCTTCATTACACTTAGTTACAAACGTTCACTAGCTTCCTATGTATTTCATCAAATCTCTCTCGAACGTTTTTCCACATAGAACTCTAATTTACAGAAAAAAGTTACTCGCCAAAAGCGATTTTCCTTCCCGCATATATGATCAAATGACACATCGCTTTCTCATCAACACCTTTGACCCAAACTTCCCGTCATAACTGTACACCTGTTCACTTCAGAATGGAGACATAAAGTCAACTTTTTAAAAATAATTAGCATATTTTAAAAAGTGTATAAATTACCAGCCAAATGGGTGAACATAAAGCTTGTCTTACACCAAAGTAAAGTGATGTCGAAATAAGGGACAACAAAAGTTGATACGGTTTTAAATTTGATAGCAGACAATACTATATAGAACACTTTTAACTTCAAGATCAGTAAATTTCAAAACCATTTTATTTTTAATTCTTTAAAATACAATGCTGGACTAAATTCTGTATCGCTTCAATTACCAAAACGGCTAAGGCGAAGCATTATTTTTCTCGTCATTTCTCGTTGTATTTGTGACGTGCGGCTGTCTTTGTGTCCATGGTGCAAAAACAAACACTTGAAGACAATAAACAAACAGCTTTTAATATGTCGTAAATTTTGTTGTTTTGCCTAAAATTTGAATATTTGTGACAAATAGCTGTGAGCGTTGCAGCTCCCACACTTGAAGAAATACACAAATGGAAAATTCATCCCTTCAGTTTACCGCAAACCTATACCCTCACTGACCTCTTTGCTAACTTCCACAGCTTCATTCTACTTAGTTACAAACGTACACCTAGCTTCCTGTGTATTACATCAAATCTCTTTCGAAAACTTTTTCACATAGAACTCTAATTTACAAAAAAGTTACTCGTCAAAAGCGGTTTTCCTTCCCGCATATATGACCAAATGACACGTCGCTTTCTCATCAACACATCAATTATAATAGAATACACTCCCCGAACAATTGAACATGATCAATTCGTCATACATTTATTATAATGTAAACCTGTAAAAGAAAAAAGCTCAATTCAAGAGCGTGTCTATGTTATTTTTGCGTTTATTAATTTTATTCAGTAACGATTACGTTGGAAGATTTTGTTTGTTTGTTAAAGGGTGTGATGGTTCGGGTTAAGGTGTTCATATATTGATCTATGCTAGTTAAACTTTATTATTATAATAGTAAATAGTAAATTTTACTGTAAAGTTCGGTCTGACACAATTTGTTGTATTTAGGGCGTGAAAATTTTGTTAATGACTGTCGGCAAAAGTGAATTTACTGTTGGTGAAGATTATAGTCTAAAACTTAAAATACGTTATGGGAGCAATTTAATTTTTCGTCATTGAGCACTTCAAGTCATTAACCTGTTTTGCCGTGTTTGCCCACTTTAGATGCATTATTTGTGCTTCGTTGCTTCGTAGCTATAAACAGAGGTAATTCTATAAAATATCAAAAACTTTATCTTCTATAACATTGCTTCGTCAACCAACTACAGCATCCAAATTTCCTAACACGTTTAAAGTATTTTTGTTGATTCGTAAAGGATAGGATTTGACGCAAAACAAATTCTATAAAATGTTGAATAACTGGGGAAGATGGAATAAGTGTTTGTAAATACTCAACATGCACCATACATTTAAGGAAGCCGATAGCCTTGGCCAGCAGCTGCAAGTAAAACCTTGCGAAAGTCACAACTCTTTTGTTCGTCTGACTTGAATGTATCTTAATTTTTCACTGCTTGTGTAAGGTGTATTTCTTCAGTCGCCTTATTGTGTCCGTTTTTCAATTAAATAAAGAACAAAGGTAAGATGTGATGTAGTTAATAGTGAAAAGGAAGTTTCTTTATCGTCAATGCTATGTTAACATTTAATACTGCAATTTTTTTCTTTCACTGAGTTTCATTTACCACAATACCTCCATGGTTCATGTAGGATTCGGGACAGGTTATTACATTCATATTTTGATTCATATATATTATTATATTTTTCGCTCAAATCTCTCAACTACATCAAAAACAAACCCTATTTCACTGTTCTTTAAATATATTCGTTCTTCAGCGGAACCTGTGAAAAATCATAAAGAAATCCGCTTGAGATTTTCAATTCTTATGGAGTATTCATTGGCAGTTAGTACTCCACGAATAACTGCAAACAAAGGAGTAACGACAAGCTTGGTAAAATGTAAAAAGCTGCAAACCATTTTCAAGATTTTTTGTGATATTTCTGTAAATTTTTATAATAGAATTTGAGCCATCTCAAGATAACGCTGAAACCCAAAACTACTTAGCTGCCCTTAATATCGACGTTGGTTTATTTCGTATGCTCTTCCTCCCCAATAGAAAAAAAGCTACGCGGTGCATGTAATGTAAATATCTAACACCCTTTCAACATTATTTTTTAGTCATTATCTTTTGAAATTTCTAATTTATTTAGTTAATTTTTCAACTGTAACTTTTTGAATTTGTCAACTGAGCAATTTAGCTGTTTTATAGCTGCTAATATATTGAGTTCGATGAATTAAAAATTCGAATGAAAATCCAATACGGGTATAGCTATAGAGACAATACAGGTATAACTATACAGGTATAGAGGCTGCATTACAAGAAATTGTAAAGTACTTTATGATTTCATACGTTTTTTACATGTATCATGACATAACAGAAAATTGAAATGAAATAGCTAATGGAAAGCTCTGCATGCACAATTGTTAATTTCATATTCAGAAAAAGAGTTTTAACATCGTCTTTAGTTTTTAATCTATTGTATCTAAAATAAATGATTTGCTTTGATTTTAAGTTGATCTCGCTTTCTTCGCTTCCTTAGCGCTATCCACTAAAAAGCATTTTTTTTCATCGTTGAATAAATCTCTTGAAACACAAACAGTTGAAATTTAGATTGAACCGAGTAAGAAGAATAAAGCATAAATTGAAAGATAACCAAGTTTCATTCTTTTAAAAAAATTATAACCATGTACATATATAACAGCTACAGTTGCTTCCAATGCGAGACCATCATGCAACCATATAAGACTAGCTTAATCCATTTCTGAACAGTTTTCTCGCTACACAATTTTGCTGAAATTAATTTTTTAGATAATGTTCATATATTGCTCAAAAATACGTTTTGATCGTGATCTGCTTGCATCACAGATGTAATTGTGACGTAGTCATTGTCGATCTAAATATAAATTTAAAGTCCTCTGTGATAACGTACCTACATCCAATAATCAATTATAATTTATAGCGTTAGTGTATATACTTGGATCTATGCAATGATGAGTTTAATAATATGGTCGTTATTGTGGCTGTTATTTGGTCAAGGATTCACCATGAAAATGGGTTGGAATGAAGAGCTTGAGTTTTGTGAGGAAGAATGGAAGAAATTTGTGGCGGACAAAATTGAAATCGATTCGAAATGCGACAATACTCGTACACGTTGTTGTGTTGAGGAGAAGAAATATCTTTTGGAGCGATTTAAAATTTTTAGTGAAGTATGTCCACTCGAAGGTAAAGTAAACAACAGTTCAGTTTACAGTAAGTACAGAACATCAACTGAAATGTACTTGGAGAACAATCACAACACTTATATTACTGAGGTACTGTTTAATTTAAATAACGCTAATTGAAACCGTGTTCTTAGAAAGTGCATTAAAGTAAGGTACCTAAAGTAAATGGTTTAAACCTGTAAGGTACATGTTAAAGTACTCAACTGATTTGGATACACTAGCTTCACAGCATTAATGCAGCATAATCTCTCGTTTATTGCTCCTCTGTCTAGTTACAAAAGCAAAGTAATATGAGAGTAGAGTCAAAAATAGTAATATATGCAGTTATATGATAAAGTCTTTATAGTTATTGTCTATTTGGGTTTAAGGAAGACTTTCGATTCAATGTGAATAGTTTGTAATATTTTCTGGTCAAATGATTGTCTCTTTCTACTTGTTCCTTTTCTCTGGACAACCACTTAAAGATAACTTAATTTTTGTTAGGTATATGTTGATGCAGCCTGAATATTCTGAACGTTACTAATGGGTCATACGTCTATACTGGTGGGCTAAGCCCCAAATTTTCTTATTTTGCATTCGCAAAATGGAAAGAACCAGAAGACTTCACGTGTTCACATAAGTACATAAATGAAACAGTAGAAAAACTGTATGATGAACCTTCTGATATATTTGGAGTCGGACAACACAAAATCCCTTACAAGTATGTTTTATACGGTGGAAAAAATCACACTTGTTATGTTGTCATCAACGTGAACAAAAAAGGTACGTGCAAGGGTAGTTCATTTTAATTTCTCCTGAGTCAGTTTAGTTTATAGTGCACCATTGTGATTACAGTGCTTCGTGTTCAACTTTAATCAAATCCATACGACACTTTGACCTATATTTAATTCATTATGTACATCTACTCTTATGTGAAATTTCTTTGCACTTGCAAAACTAATAGAATACATGCCCAGAACAGACGAACATGTTTAATTCGTCATAAACTTATTATAATGTAAACCTGTAAAGGGGCAAAAGCTCAATTCAAGAGCGTGTCTTGGTTATTTTGCGTTTATTGATTTTATTCAGTAACGATCACGTTGGAAGATTTTGGTTGTTTTTTAAGGGGTGTGAGGGTTAGGGTTACGGTGTACATATATTGATTTATGCTAGTTAATCTTTGTTATTGTAAAGCCTAGTTCTCATTCATCGCAAAACGTCACTAGTATCGGCGACGTTTATTGCGGATGGTCGGTGATGGCCTCTCGATGGCCTTGTGTTCTCATTCATCGCAAAGCATCGCAAAGCATCGCTCACCATCGGCGATGGTCGGTGATAGCCGATGAGCGCTTTGAGAAAAAAAATGGCTCCTTTCAATCTGAAATTGAATATTATAATTTCTGTGCAGCTTCAATTGTATTTATTGGCTTTGTTAAGGAAAGAGCAAATTTTACTCAGATTAAACAAACCACGAAAGAGAAGCTTTTGGATAAGAGAAATGTTGAAGAAGCGCGAGCAGGAAAGTCAATATCATATTTTGGTTGAAGAGTTAAAATTGCACGATTGAGAGTATTTTTTCAAATTTTTAAGAATGAGTCCAGAGAGGCTAGAGCATCTATTAAATCTTGTTGCCCCCTACAAAAGAAATGCAAAAGCAGAATACCAGTTTCTGCAGGAGAAAGACTTGTCGTTACTTTGCGATATTTAGCTACAGGGATTCCCAACAATCCCAAGCCTTTAATTTCTGATTGGTAAAATTATCAATCCATTTAATTGTGACGTATGCGGAAGAAAAGAGCTCTCAGACTCTTTTGCCAATATTGAAATTTTCATTCCTCCGAGCAACATGTTTGTGATCACGACCAATATATATTTGAGACTTAAGTGGGCATGGTAAAATTTATATTTGATAATAAGTCTCCAACCATCACTATAGTGTTTGATTTTAGAATAATGTTTCGTCTAAAGTGTGTGCGTATATGGCGTTCATTTTCCGCCAAAATTCATGCCTTAATTTTTAGCATTATAGCTCACATTCGCGACATTAAAGTTTTCATTCTCGACATTAAAGTTTTCATTCGCAACATTAAAGTTTTCATTCGCGACATTAAAGTTTGCATTCGCGGCTATAAAGTTTTCATTCGCGACATTATAGTTTTCATTCGCGACATTATAGTTTTCATTCGCGACATTATAGTTTTCATTCGCGGCTATAAAGTTTTCATTCGCGACATTATAGTTTTCATTCGCGACATTAAAGTTTTCATTCTCGACATAATAGTTTTCATTCGCGACATTAAAGTTTTCATTCGCGACATTAAAGTTTGCATTCGCGACATTATAGTTTGCTTTCGCGACATTATAATTTGCTTTCGCGACATTATAGTTTGCTTTCGCGACATTATAGGTTCCATTCACAACATCATAGCTTGCATTCGCGACACTATAGTTTGCAATCGCGACATTATAGTTTGCAATCGCGACATTATAGTTTGCATTCGCGACATTATGGTTTGCAATTGCGACATTATAGTCTGCTTTCGCGACATTAAAGTTTGCATTTGCAACATTAAAGTTTGCATTCGCAACATTAAAGTTTGCATTCGCAACATTAAATTTTGCATTGGCGATATTAAAGTTTGCATTCGCAACATTAAAGTTTGCATTTGCGACATTAAAGTTTGCATTCGCAACATTTGCAACATTAAAGTTTGCATTCGCAACATTAAATTTTGCATTCGCAACATTAAAGTTTGCTTTTGCGACATTATAGTTTACATCTCGACAATAGTTTACATCAATGCTCAAATTTCATTAAAGTTGAATATTGGTGGCTTGTGCAAGGGTGCAAGTTCCGACAAAATTATTTTCAAGGAGATACGTGGAAACACGGATACGGATGAATGGTGGTCAGATAAAGCACATGCAGATAACAGTGAATGTCAAAAGACCAAACATTTATTTGCACCAACCAGAGGCGTAACTAGAACGTTAATTGGGTGGGGTGTATATTCATATATTCAGTTGTGCCCTACTGATTTCTTTTCAAATTCAAATCACTTTCAAAAGAAATCAGTAGGACACAACAGAATATATGAATATGCACCCCCCTTCCCCTCTCAATTAACGTTCTAGTTACGCCTCTGGATCCAACTAAAAAACTGCTTCAAAAAATCTAATGAAAGTGTTAATAATTTGGCGTAAAACATTTAAATAATGTATGCCAATACAAAATCAAGCATATCAATCAAACCATTAAATTCTAATAGAAAGATAAAGGCTAGCGAAAGGTCAGTTTTGTCCTCCTTAATGAATGCATAGGTACAAAATTGTTGTCCTGAAAATTTTGACTGCGGAAGATAAGGTATCTATTATGTTTATTTGAATGGGTTTGAACAAATATACTCGAGTCTTGAAGTGTCAAAATAAAATAAAATCGCTGCCAATATCATAATTCCGCTAATCTTCTCTCAATTACATTGCAGGCTCATTATTGCCTCCGTATTATGCTTATCAACTTCATATTAAATAAAAATGGAGGGGGGACAACAGAAAGTGAAATCTACACAAGATTTGGCTGAAATTTTAGAAATAGTCCAGAACAAGCTAACAAGATTGGACACAATATCTCACCCAGATGAAATTGATTGTTTACTTTCAAGAATAGATATGATCAAAACCAGAGTTATCAGTCTCTGTCTCGATAGCTTATTTTTGGATTGCAAAACACGGCTTATAAATGCCTTAATGAGGTAACTGCGTTTGCATATTCCCCATGTGAAACACGAAGTCGTGGCGACCTATAATCGATGTTAACAAAGAACAAGTTCGCTTTCTTCTTGAGCAAAACTTTAAAGTGGCTGAAATTTAGCCGAAACACAAGAGTCGGAAAACAGACGCTGGAAAGGTAAATTAAATCACTTGGCTTTACTTGCAGACAGGCTAGTTATTTGAAAATATTGCAAGGCTCGTAGCATCTGCTTCAACTCCTTCAACATTAATGACAGAATAGCTTATTCCTAATTGAAATAAAATTGGGAAGAATACTAAATAAATGAAAACGTACAATAAGATCTTCCCCTCACTATCTTGCAGTTATCTTCTTCCCAACAAGTGATTTCATTCTCATTTCCAACGTCCGTTTTCCGACTCCTGTGATTCGGCTAAATTTCAGCCACTTTAAAGTTTTGCTCAAGACGAAAGCTAACTTGTTCTTTGTTAACATCGATTGAAGGTCGCCAGGACTTCATGTTTCACATGGTGAATATGCAAACGCAGTTACCTCATTAAGGCATTTATAAGCCGTGTTTTGCAATTCCAAAAACAACCTATCGAGACACAGACTGATAACTCTGGTTTTGATCATATCTATTCTTGAAAGTAAACAATCAGTTTCATCTGGGATAGATATTGTGTCCAATCTTGTTAGCTTGTTCTGGACTATTTCTAACATTTCAGCCAAATCTTGTGTTGATACATTCACTCTCTGTTGTCCTCTCTCCATTTTTATTTAACATGAAGTTGATAAGTTTTTAATACAATGATGTGAATTTCATGCACCATATGCTCAATAATGCACAGTTCTCAAACTGCTCCTTAGAACACTTAGAATGGTATGTTATCAAGCTTACCTAATAGCTAGCTGCATCATTCCATATAAAACAGAAAAAACTAAGGGTTACTTCAGCATATTGCCAAGTAAAGGCGCTTGTACAACTTCTCTTGCAATTTGCTATCTCTGTTTATATATTGCGATACAAATTCGCATGCGAGGTTGCAAGGTGTGGATTCCCTCGTAATAATAAAGTCAGGCAACAATTGTGATGCAAGAAGTGTTGCATGATATGGAATCTGTTTCTACTTATTGCAACAATTGCCACAGCGCTGCAACGCATTTTTAAGGTGTTATACTGTGTAACGTCCTTGCATGTTTTAGTGCAATGTTTTCTTCATTGGTCAATAAGAACTCGCTATCCGGCTAGTATCTAGGAATATAATTAACTCTACAGCGAAATGTTTGCCATTGCAAAATACAAGAAGTATTGCACAGTGTAGCATCATGAGAAGGCCATCACAACACAAGTTGCGAAACAAGTTACATGGTAGAAAAACGCTTTAAACTGCTCGTATGCTGGAGAGTAGAATTTTTCTTTCTCCAAAAACAGAAATATGTGGAATGCTTGCTACTACAGAGTTCAAAACACAGTTTCTTTTTCATATTCATACCTTGTTTTTGTTTTTGTATAACATTGGCTGACTTCCTATGACTGAGATGAAAATCAGAGAATACTCAATTATTTATGCTTCTGCGGATGAACTTCCTGTTGATCAAAAATACATAAAAGAAACCTGACTTTTGGCATTTAGGCTTCCCTGTCGTGTTGATAGTGTTCAGTATCCTAAATTAATTTTGATGAAGTTTTGTTTTCTTTTCCAGATTTTGTCAAGTAGCATTTGCGAGCTATTTTTATCATTATCAATTTCCTTTTTTCAGGAACAAATGGATTTTTATCAAACATGTTCAATTAGGAAAGTGTATCTATGATACTGGGATGACGCTTTTTAATAGTCCTCCACATTTTGGTTACTATCTGAACCTTACTAAGAACTGTTTTGACCCAACAACTCAGTATCAATTTCATCAATCTGGCTCCATATTAAAACCGAATAGAAGAGGTTGTCTTGTCGGAGGAAGAGCCTTACAAGATTTGTTTTTGATATACGAAAAGAAAGGTGACATTGCTGCTGCATGCAATGACGCAAACGCCTTAACCCAAACTTTTCAAGGTGGAATATTTACTTTCGACTTTAATAAATGTGCAGTACCTCCAGGATATATTAAACGTCATGTCTACATGGGAATAGCCAAATGTAATAATGAAGAAGATCAGTGATTTCATTTTGGTAAGAATTTTTTTTTAATCTAATATAAATGCATTAAATTAAAATCTTATTAAAAACTACCACAAATCTTCAGCTATAGGGATGGCGTCTACATGCAAGGTCAACGTCATCAAAAACTTTATCTTCATCAGATTCAACTTTGTGTTTACAGGATTTTAAAGATAAACGCGTACCGATTGTATTTTTTTTTACTATAGGTTCAGTGGCATGTACTGGACAAAAGATAGCGAATGCTAGTTGTTCTAAAAATCAATATATGGTAGTAAAAGTGGCTGAATATCGTGGATTGAGTATAGGAAGCTCTTGTGGCTCAAGTTATGATTACAATTGTAGTGTTGATATCACATGTGACCTTAAAAATTACTGTGATGGTGAAAGAAAATGTGATGTATTTGTTGATGATAATCATTTTCCTTCAAATATTTGTCCTGGTTTGGAGAAATATCTTTACTTTGAATATCAATGTAACGACACAAGTATGCCACACAGAGAGATTTGCAATTGTAAGTACTATACAAGCAGATTAAATTTTGCTTGGTAATTTATCAGCCTTTGGACAAGTTTTGACCTGAATTTTTCGTCGTATGGTAAATATTCTTACATTGCGTATACCATCAATTTAGAAAATTTTGAAGCATTTTTGTCAGGTTTCTTCGTCAAGAGTAATTTGTCTATTGAATTTTAATATTTGTTTATAGTCCACTTTATAGTGTCTTCATATGATTTGATATTTAAACTTGATTTCTTACTTTTTGAGCTGTGTTTAACTATATCTGGGCATTTTACATTTTTTCGTGCAAACATCTCTTCTCACAGTGTCTTTAATTTTTGAAAGTATTTGTACTAATCTGTGTTTGCCAAACAAAGATATTTACTCTTTCATATAATATTACATATTTTTAAGAATTCATACCACTGAATTGTCGTGCACATATACATACAACGGTATATTTTTGTGAAGAAGCATAACACACCTGATCATTTGGATACACTTCTTTATTATCAGATTTTGCAACACAAAAGTAGAGTTCAACACTACATGCGCTCATTGTTGACATAAAAAGTAAAATCAAAACGAGGCTTACCTAATTAAAATGTAATTCTATAAAACATTGTAGACCAAAAATCATGACGATGGTAAGATTATTTTGATCTTCTAGATTTTTGCTTTCTATTGACTAAACCTGATTCTTACGAAAAATTCCATGGGAAGAGTTGCTATTTTAAAACAAATTAAGAACAAGTAATTTATTGTGTTCTGTATTTGTATCGTCAAAATGTGTCTGTTTTTATAGTCTTAAATAGGTAAACAAAAGTGAGGCCTTTGCACGAACAATGAGTAAAAATACAGACCCATTTATCATCTCATGTGAGGGAAGTTGTATTTATCACATACGCTACCCTAAACTATGTTTAAATCATTTTCAATATCTTCGTTACGCGGCATATTGCTATGGGCAATGTTATTTCTGTATTTTTACTTTACGGCCTCTGGACAGTCATACTCAGAATTTTCTGGTGGGAAAAATTATACTATGTGTTGTGGAACTTCAATTCTTTTTTCTTTTTAAAGTTTTTGCAAATTACCTGCATCCTGGTATGTAATGGGAATATAGTCACAAGAAAGTCTCGTATTTTTAAGTAATATAATATATCACCATCCGCTACGATAGTCTCGAAGATTACACTTAAATATAACACTTTTTCACAAGCCCTACCCGATTTTCTCTTTATCTGACTGTTATCAAGCTTACTTTCCATCACTCTTACACTATTATGATGTTTTACTGTTTCCGACAAAGTTACGTCTATATGATTCTTAAAAAAATTAGTTTCTTTCAGTTTAAAATTGTCATAGTTTTAATTAAATCAGATATGTTTCTTGAGTTGGGGATCATGGGTGCTATGATTTATTGACTCACAGCTTTGTAACAAGCCATATAGTGCATGTATTTTTTTTTGTTTTCAGTTCCCGAAAGTCCTCCATTAAATATATCAATTTCTATGATCAGAAGCTTATCGTTTGTAATCACGTGGGAGCCACCTGATATAAACAAAAGAAACGGAGAAATAGTCGACTACACTGTTTGTATCACAGCCTTGGAGAATTTAAAATGTTTAAGCAATTATACTACAAAAGAGCAAAGTTTGAAAATAGACAGTTTAAAACCAATGACAAAATACTACATTCGTGTTTTGGCCAGTACAAAAGTTGGTCCAGGAAGTTACAGTGAGAGTAAAATGGCAATAACAGATGGATGTACGTTTTTTTAAAAGCCTTCTTTTTCCATGTTCTAGTCACATTTCAAGGACGATAATTGGGGGTGGGTTATATTTATGCACGATCTACCGTATTAAGTTTATTTGAAATTTGAATATGAACCACCTCTCCAATTACTGATCTTTCCCAGTCCCTGTAATTTATTATAAAGTTTGCGTGAATTGATAAACATAATTGTATTTCTGTAGTACCACCGGAAGCACCTTTATGCGCGACGAAAACAACATTGACATTTTCTTTGAAGACTCCTAAACAAAGATATGCGTAAGTAGTTGCATGGAAGTTCTTCTTTGACTTTTTGTATTGAGTTTACGAACAGTTCTTAGAGTAAAATTGCATATATTATAGGAAATTATAAAAAACTTTTTGTCAGCGTTTATCGTCAGACTAATTAGGATTCATCTAAACTTGTTTTATAATGCATTTTTACATCATTTTCATAACCACATCTGTGCCACTCCGTGTTTGATAATTATATAGTATTTGCATTTAGAGCTATGTATGTGCGAACATTAGGTGGTGGTGTGATTAAGCACTTTCGAATGTTTATTTTTTATAGGCTTTGTTGTAATTTAATCTTTCATGTCTGTTTCAGCCAACTTTATCCGGCGAAAATTTAATTGCTCCTGTTTTCAGGTATTTCTTTATAATCGCTACGAAAGGAAACGAAGAAAATTCTTCGCCACCTTTTAAGTATGGCAACTATGATTTGGTAACGTATTCATCTGAATTTTTACAACCAAAACCTTATATAGCTGCTGTGTTTGCTCCCAAATATGATGGTGTGTTTGTGTTTACACCTGGTGATGGCTCAAACACAAGTATTGCAGGAACACGAACACGACGGTCTACAGATGGAGTATATTATAATGGTCCTTTAAAAGCTAATTCTACATATCGAATTTTTCTGCGATTCGTGGTAAATGAACAGGTACATTCTGAAATCTTGCCTTTTATTGATTATCTGCAAAAGCATAGTCAAGTTTATCTTTTTCATAATTGTATCTATTTAATCAATTTTAGGGTCTTTATTGTTCAACTGATTGGAGTTACGCAGCAAGGACTGGTCCTTCAAGATGTGCACATACAACACTACGTTCAACTTCTAGTAAGGCTAACTATGTTTTTATTAAAAATGACTTTGATGGTTGTGGGAGCTTTGTAAAGCAGTCATTCAGAGTGAAAAACAACCTTAACGTTTCTAATATATCTTTAATCAATGAAGACATTAAATTGTAAACATAAATTATCTGATTTTAAAGGGACAATTGTAAATTACTTGTACTTGCTTAAGTTTTTGTTGATGATTTCATTATTTTCATTCATTATTTGAAAAACCTATCGTCAGAAACTTTAAGAAAATTAATAGTCTTTAATGTTTGTTTAGATTCGTTAAAGTGCAACAAAGAAAACGGAAAGTTGTTACCGATTGTCATTGCCCTGGCTATTTGTTTACTAATGTCAATGACCGTTAACATTTATCAGTTGTGTTATCGTCGTAAAAATATATCAAATAAAGATGAAAATCGTGATAATAAAAAGCGACCAACAAATGTTTATGATAGTTCTGATATCCATGACAATAATTATGAACAAGTTGACGGCGACCAATCCTCATACATGTCGTTGAACAACACTGGAAGAAATGAAGACGAACATGTATACTGTCATTTAAATGAAGTTGGCAAGAACGAAAGTATTATGTAATGTATGTTATTCGCAGTTATCGATATTTCTTCAGAGTAATTTTCTGTAGTTTTCATTGATATTTTGATTTCTGTAACCATTGTATGTGTTTTTATTTGGAACATTTCAACTCCTAAAAATAATATACTCAACATTGCACTCATTACTAGGGTAGTACAAATTTAAACAGGCTAAAAACTAATTGATTTCATTTGAAATAAATTTATGTTGATATCTAGACTACTTATTGTCTACATTGTTTACTAAGCTCCTGAAATTACCCATTCGAATGTGGGAGTTACTTTTTTGCAATGCTGCGCTTTGTTTACTTTTCATTCAGATCAATTAAATTTTCTGATAACTAGGGTACTTGAAACTGAAAACTATTGCAAGCTTGTTTTATGATTTCTGCATAATTTCAGTATTATTTTCTCCTCCAGGTTTAGGTATTCATCTTGCATACCTTTATATGATTTAAATCTTAATGTTATTTTACAATTTATGTTTTATTATATATTTACACCTCAGCGAGCTTTTGGTGACGTAGACATACGCCTGTATTTTATAAGCGCTCTCACTCTCATCTTCACTAAGTGTGGTTTCAAAATCACCTCGGCGTATTAATTAGACTAATCGCTTGATTTGAAATATTTCATCAAAAATCTTGCCATTGATTGAGAAATGACTTTGCTTTGATTAGATACAGCGAGAGGTTGAATTAAGTTAGCGTGAGTGTTACTAACGCAGGCTTTTAGAATTCGGGCGAAAGTGAGATGATTTAAAGAATTTCCATTCATTGTTCGATAATGTTTAATGTGAAGTGGGTTTTTGAATGTTACTTATCTCATGAAAGTTTTTATTAAGGCAGATGGATAGCTGCAACTCTTTAAGTGCCAAAAGATCTAAAAAATTTCTAACAAATAGTCAAGTCTGAGGGTGAATGGTTTTCGTTTTACATTGCTGTCGCCAATAATTTAGGTCGTGCAATAGATCGGGACTAGGTAAGTAGGTGGCTTATATTCGCAAAATAAATACAGCTGTCCCGTCAAATTCTCTTCAATGTTTGAAAAAATAATACACAAAGAACTCCAATAAAACTTTTATGATAACATATATAATTTTAGAGTTCACAGGCTAAATGCACATCATCATATATCTAAGCTACTTTCAGGAACGACGAAGATAAAGTGTACGGGTTCTCTTGCAATTTTTCCACTTTTGATCAGTTTTTTAATTGAAATACAAGCACAAGACATAACGACAGATAGATTATCAGAAAAATTTTAAGGTAGAGATATTGAACAGATACGCTAAAGCATAGCAGAAATAGAAAATTGCAGTGTAACCGACATGAGATATCATCATATTAGTGAAGTTTTTAGAAGATTTGTCAGTATATTAAGAAGATAAAGAATACAAACTACGGCAATAACTTTGTCCATAATGGGCAAGCGACAAGAGTGTATAATTCATGAATGCATTTTAAAAATTCTGGTTAACTTGAGTAGACGGTTATCTTTGAGCGTTAATTGGAGGAGAGGGGCACGTATTTATATTTTCATGCTCTGCCGTATTAATTGAGCTCTTAGTTTGTAATCGTCGCCATAGATTTGCCAGGAGGAAAGCGAAATTTTCAATATGAACATAATAGCTGAAAATAAGACTTTTAAAAAAGTCATCACAATAGTAAAATAAAGAAAGATTTATTATTAACGTTTCGTCTTTATTTTAAGACATCTTCAGATTATTTGAGATGAATTATAAACACGAGGTTTTAAATACCAGCATATATTACAGGGTATTAAATTTAACACCCTGTAATATATGTTTACATGATCCCGATCTCAACTGTTTCTTAAGCGCCAGAAGTTATTTCTGTTGTATAATTCTCATATTAGCCCAAATTGGTTGTACTAATTTTAAATTTTTTCAATAGTTGATGAATCAGGATATTGTGAAATTTCTCGAGAAGATTTATCTGATGATGAGCATTGAATCGTTCCATTTGCTAAAATCATATAAGGCCCCGTTTACACTATACCAGATTGCTATCGTAGCAGGTTAAATATTCTTTTTATTAAAAGGCGTTGAAATTGTTTAACGTCAGAAACACAATCAGACTAAATCTATCGGCTTAATCAGCTTTTACTCCGAACAGTTAAACCCTTTAAAGCTAATGAACATGTCATGATGAGCGAATCCGGTATAGAGTAAACGCAGCCCAACACTTCGCTGAATCCCGGCTACCCGGGCTCATGTAATCAGCCTTTTTGAAGGCTTGAGTTTGCAATGTATGTACACTGCATATCTTAAAGTATATGTCTCATGAAAGAAGTATTATTGGAAGAACATTATGGTCAAAGAAGGGCCGTTTGGAAGGGCTACAGGAAAAGCAACCGAGTTTTTACTCTGCAAATTTATTTGCATAATTGTCTTGTAAATATAACAAATGCGTTTATTGTTTTTAAGTGAAATAACCAAAATCTTTATACAACAAGAATGGGTAGTACTAAACTGTAAAGATTGTTGACTATCAACTGCTGGCCATGAACAACAAATACGTACGGCTTGTTGTTAATAGAAGAATATACTTTAATATCTTTATCTAGAAGGCTATCAATATGGCAACTCATTCAAGTGTGCAAAGGTTTGTGCTATAAAACAGAGCACAATTTCAAAAGCAGGTATTAGGCATTTGGGAAAGCTTTGAAATGCAGTTATCTTCTACATAATCTTAATTGGGTAACATTAAAACAAATGACGAACAATTGCCATTATATTAAAGGTTTTTTCCATTCGTTCAACAGGGATTAGTGAGTGGAACTATGGAAATATAACGATTAACAGAACGCGTTTTTGCCGTATTCGTCATTAAGTAATTATCTCTGTTTCTTTCTTTGGTTTCTGGTAGGTTGTTTCCAATGGGGGAATGTTTGGGATCATTTGCATTCTTTTGTTGAGGAGGCGTAAACTTAACTTAATCATTTCACAAATCGATCGATGATGAGAATCATGACTACGTCTACAATTCTTCTTTGACTCGCAATTTTTACTGAGATGCCCGATTCGCCGGCATAATAAACAACGATTGTCTCTCCTCAATATACTCTTGCAATCATTCACATCAGTTACTCTATCACACGATGCCGAAAGGTGTGAAAGTGGCTGTTGATCATTTTACGGAGGATTTCAATCTATTTTTATTTCTTCCGACAGGTAAAATGTGAAAAATATTGGCCAGATGAATCTAATGTATATGGTGAAATTCAAGTGACCGTCACTGAGACAAAAACTTTTGCTGACTACGTCACGCGCATGATGGTTGTTGAAAAGGTAATTTTCTCATTTCCAGTCTCTATTTCTGTTGATGCCCGTATATTTATGTTTCCTTGACGAAGATGCAATGCACACCAGATTCGATCCGTTTCGTCAGAAGAATGTTGTTATGACCAGATGAGTATCATATAGTTATGAACAGACCTAGTCGTGTAATCATTTTTAATGTCATTAATGACTGCGTTTAATTAACAAACGAAAAAAAGTGCACCGATATAAGTTCCTTGTCTGTAGATGTTGAACTTTCAGGTTAGGGCAGTTCTTGAAAGAATTGTTGCTGTTAGTGTTGCCTCAAATTTCGTAGCCCGAAGTCCGATGCGCAGATTCTTCCAACACACCGGGTAGGCTACGGCAGCAGCAGGGTTTGCTCTCCTGTCCTTCCTGGCCTGGCGTTTGGCATCAAGTGGCTCAAGTCGACGGTCCTCGAGGGCCTTGACCCCGTACAGTGTAGACTGCCTTCAGGCAGTACGGTTGGCAGACAGTCCTTCCCAACCATCGACGGGGATGTTGCAGGCGCTCAGGGACTGCTTCAGGGAGTCATGGTAGCGATTGATCTGGCCTCCCTGCTTTCTTGTGCCGCAGGCCAGCTCAGAACAGAAGAGCTGCTTGGGAAGACGGCTGTCTTCCATACGCATCACGTGGCCTGACCATCTCAACTGGGACTGCATGATCAAGGCCTCGATTCCAGGCAGGGCGGCACAGCGAAGGACCTCTTGGTTGGTCACACGGTTCTCCCAGTGGATACCCAGAAGTCTGCGCAAACAGCGGAGATGAAAATGGTCCAGTTTTTTGATGTGGCGGCGATAGCAGGTCCACGTTTCACAGCCGTATAGGAGCGATGTTAGTACCACAGCTCTGTAGACTGCGACTTTCGTTTTCTGCGTGATGCCCCGCTCGTGCCACACTCTTGTCCAAAGGCGTCCAAAGGCGCTGCTAGCCTTTGCCAGTCGGCAGGAAATTTCCATGTCCAGGGTCCCAGACGAAGAGAGGCAACTACCAAGGTAGGTGAAGTCCTCCACATTCTTCAGCTGGGCACCGTCAATATCAATGACTGGTTCTGGCTTGCTAGCACCAGGGGCTGCTTAGTACATGACTTCAGTCTTCTTGATGCTGATTGTCAGACCAAAGGCTTTAGCAGCGGTGGAGAAACAATCTGCCAGGCATTGCAAGTCTTCTTCAGAGTGGGCGCCAAGCGCACAGTCGTCAGCAAAGAGGAAGTCGCGGACCGGGGCTTCACGCACTTTGGTCTTGGCGTTCAGACGACGTAGATCGAAAAAATGTCCATCTGTCCTCTATCTGATCCTGATGCCGGCGCTGGTTTGGGTTAGTGCAGCTGACAGCATCTCGGCGAACAGCAGGCTGAAGAATGTGGGAGCCAGGACGCAGCCCTGCTTCACTACGTTGGTGACAGGGAAGGGCTCGGAGACATCCCCATCCCTCTGTGATTGTCGCAAGCAGGCTTCTCGCCCTTGTTCTTATACAGGTGTATGAATTTGGCGTCTTTGAAGTCTTGAGGCAGCTCTCCCTTCTCTCAAAAGTTTTGAAACAGACTGATCAGCCGGTCAACGATAGCCTCACCTCCCACCTTGTAGATTTCAGGAGGGATTCAGTCTGGCCCTGGAGCTTTACCAGTCTGAAGCTGGCTGTTGACCTTCAGTGTCACCTCTCTCGCTATTATCTCATCTAGGGTGGGAATCACAGGTCGCTGTGGCAGGTCTTGGAGTGTATGCTCGTCAATGGAGGATGGCCTGCTTAGTAGCTGGCTGAAGTGGGCTGTCCAACGCTCAAGGCGTCTTGTCTGTTAGCAGGGTCCCATCAGACGCTCGAAATGGGGTCATGATGCTAGAGGAACGTCCAGAAACTGACTTTAGGCCGCTGAAGAAAAGCTTCGTGGCGTGTTCATCGGC